AGAGCCGTACCTAATATCTATGCGAAACTCCACAACGAAGAATGGAGCGTACATTCTTTCGTGCTTCGATGTACGGTGTCCGGAAAAACGCTGTGTGGGTAGGCAGCGGGACTGGTCAACACTCTTCTATGTTCGTTCAGGCTAATGGTCAATGGTCTTGCGGTCCTCCACGTACTTTTTCCACATACTCCTCATTGAATCAGTGTGTTTCAAAGTAATTGGTGTTTTGAAATTCGCATATCATTCCAAATTTGCCGTAATGACAAGACTGGCACCGTCGTAGTTTTGAAACGACGTCAGAAGATTTTCAGTGTAGGTCGGCAAACAAGCCGAGGGGAGGCTAGGAGTTCTTCACGGCGCTTCTTCCTACCGTATGATTTGGTCTCAGGAAAAGACACAGTGAAGTTCACACCGTCAGCCGGATAGTTTGATATACATATGTAGTTGGATGTATTCCATGTTGTAAGTGGTTATTCAGTGACTCAGTGTAACTATGTGTAAACCTGAGGTCTGACGAAGGCACGATATGCCGAAAGCTTACCAAAAAATGAACTAAAATCTTTGAAAAGGTGCATATGGAAACGGGATAACAACAAGTGTTTTGTTGAGTAGGATTATTCAGCACTAACACATACTCTTATTCTTTTCCAATCTACTACACTCACGTATTGCCGTCCTGATTTCGACTCCATGTAGTCTTTGAGCATATAAATGACGTTTTCGTAACCTTGACCAGGTCTGGAGAAGGCGGTTGTGTGTTTGTTGAGACTGTCTACGAGCTATTAAAGGCAAGTTATAGAAAGAAAAACCAGCAAATACAAAGGCATATAATTTCAGTTTTCAAGCTAATTTGTCTAACCCGTTGAATATGCGGACTTCCAAAAAGTGGTGGAGGAGTCGTGGAAGGTGGCTGGAAGATAAAAAAAAGTTCAATTAATCAGTAATGGATTCCTTGAAAAAACTAGTCAATATGGTATAAACTAAAAGAAGAAGACTCAACCAATCTTGGAGATGGCAGTGGAATGACCACTACCTCTATCTCTCCCCCTAAAGGAGGAAAAGGTGGAGGCGGCGGTGGTGGTGGTGGTGGCGGTGGTGGCAGAAAAGGTGGAGGTGGCATCCCCCACGGCGGTGGTGGTGGTGGCATATCGGGCGGCCCCGCCCATGGAGGAGGTCCATGTCCGAACCGTTCCCATGGTGGCATTGGAGGCCCTATAAACGACATTGCCATTGTTCGAGTGTTTAATGCTTTTGGAGCTTGCTCTCAAATCAGTAAAATAGTGTTTTCGGCACTACAGCCGTGTCATTTGAAAAATGTTCATGGACATTCAAATAAAGATTAGTAGAATAAAAGTTCGAGGTGATTTCATACATGGGATTGTGAATGAATGAGTATTTGATCAGTCTAATCATAAACTCGAATAAAGATACAATTCTTGCTTCGTTGCAGTATCACCTT